CCCCAGCGCTGTTTGCCCGCTCTCTCTGCTTTCCACCCCCCCTACTCCTCTCCCCTGTTTTGGGGGGTTTTTTTCTTTAGGTATTATCTCTTTGCGCTCGTCGTGAACCTGAACCGGGATGCCTACGAGATCCGGATCCTGATGGAGCACGAGGCGAGCGGGAGGCGAACGAAAGGCAACGAGAACGGCCGCCAGCTCCGGGCTGACAACGGTCTCCAACAATTGGGCTTGAGGCTTCAGGTCCAGCTCCGGCTTTTGATCCGTGTCCTTCGGAACAACCCTCCTCTGCTGCTGGATGTGGTGAAAAACATCTGCGACCTTTTTATCCCCCTGGACAAACTGGGGCTGTACAAAACCAACCCGGGTTTTGTGGGGCTGTGCGGCCTCACCTCCTCCATCCTCTCCATCCTCACCATCCTTCATCCCTGGCTTAAATTGAAGCCTTAGTTATCCCCGGAGCCTGCCCGCCAGCTCAAAGCCAGCGTAGGCAGATATTTGGGGACCCCAGAGGGAGGAGGGGGTTACTCCTGGGGCTGGGACGCGACTCAAGCCGACTGTCTCGGTCCCGTTGTGTGTGGCTACGCGTTCGTGTCACGCCTGGCTGCTTTAACCGTGGAGACGGGAGGGGGTTCGGCGTCAGAGCCCGCAGGGATCTGCTCCGGCTGCCTCGGCTCCCTGCGTCGCCGGCAAGGAGGGCGATACTCAACGGTCCTAAATTTGGTTCTTTTCCCCATTGACTGTAGAGCCTTTCTGGCTATTTTAGTGGTTTAACATTTCCCCTCCCTCTTTTAAGGGGGGTTCAACCCAGAACCAGCCAAGAGGGAATTATTTGGGGTCGCTGGGTGCTTTTCCCAGACTGGGGGGGGGGTTTAAACCGCAGGGTGGGGGTGAGTCTAGTGCTGGCCAGGCCCATCCAAGGCCTTTTTTTTTTTTTTTTTTCCCTTTGACACTTTATCTTCGTTTTAAGAAACGGTGAGTGCAGGCAGAGAGAGGGTGAGTTGAAAAGACTCGCCGCAGATGAGCCGGACCCAGCTGGGTGTTCGGAGGGGAGCGCGGGGTAAGTCCTGGGCTCTTGGCCGGTCCCGCTCTGCCTCTGTTTGAGGTGAGGTTGGGGCGGGGGGATTTCTCTGGAGGAAAATATTTGCTTCCCACACCTTTCCCGCTGTCCCAGCGAGTTGTGCCGAGCCTTGGGGTCGCTCCTGGCTCTCCCTGCCTGGATTCCTCCGTGTCTGAGAATGGCGAGGGGACTCGGGCAGCCCGAGCTGCCGGGAAGAAGCCGGGACCTTTCCATCCACTTCCTCCGTCTGCCCAGAGCAGCGCAGCCTCGCCCGGCCGATCCTTTGCTGCGGTTTTGCCTTTCAGATATCCCTTTCAGTGGCTTTTTTGGGGATAAATCGGGGAGAGGACGGGTCGGTGCCATGATTCCCTGCAGCGGGTGTTCCCCTTTGCTTTTCCTTCTGAGCCGGCGCTGCCACCTCGCTACGTTTTCTCGTTTTCCTTGGTTTCTGTGACACCAGATAACGCTCCCTACGCCCGGCGATGGGCTCGTCCTGGCTCTAAAGAGCGTTTTAATTAACCGCCGACTGACGGACGTGCTCTGAGCCGATGATTATTTGTATCCAGAGGTGGGCTGTTCCTCGGCCCGTCCCTGGGAGGGAGATAACGGAGGGAGGGAGCGACCTTAAAACCCGCTGGTGTCTTTTTTTTTTTTTTTTTTTTTTTTTAATTTTACACATTCCCTTTTGAGCTCTAGCAGCTCCGTGCACAAACAGCTCGGGCTTCACCCGCTTCCAGGTACGTCTGCGCGGTGGCAGAGGCGGTTTTTAGTCCAGACCCAGCTCCAGGACCTCTCTGGCCCTTTCTGTTTTTGGCATTTCCCGGTTTTCCGTGGGCTCCGGAGCGATCCAGGCAGGGAATCTCATTTCCAGCATCCGCGGCAAATCCCCTTGCCGCGCATTTGAGCCGACAAAAGATTGGTGGGAGAAGCCGGGAAGGCAAATGAGCTCGTTTCATCTTTTTCCTTGAGCTCTTCCTCCCTCTCTCCAGGGGAAAATGAGTTTGTCGGTGCTCAGCCCCGGTTCCCTTCGGTCTCCGGCACCGCGGCAGGGCGTTCCCGGCTTCCCCGGCACCGCGGCCGGTTTGAGTGATCCGGCAAAGCCCCGAGTTCCAGCTTCACCCACAATTCCATAAATTCCCTTAGAGGGGAGGAAAATCATCGCTAATTAGGCGAGGGTCTTCGTTAGCCGGTACCATAGGGGTGGGGCAGACGGGTGGGCTTGGCAGCGGTGACGAGGGTGACCCCACCGCAGGGGCTGGGGGGTCCTCGCTGTTCTGTCCCACACCGGGAGGTCTGGGCCTCGGGGAATTACTGCAAAAATACTGTTAATAAAAATATATATGTAATTTATGTTATATCTGGGTTTACGTATAGAAATATTTCCTAGTTAATTTCCCTATTTAAGACAAAGGATTCAGGAATTTTTTTTTTTGCAGAAGAACGTGCCGTCAGCTCTCTCCCCCCCAAAAAAATCCTCGGAGCTGGTTTTTACGCGCTGGCTTGGATCAAACTTTGACCCAGCAACCCTCGTTAAAGATTAATTGTCGTTAATTAACAACAGGAGACGCTGGGGACACTCCTGTGGCGGCTGG